CAAAATGTAAGTACGAAGAAATGTTTTCCGGCGGGAGCGGCAAATATGCTCCCGGCCGCGTTTTGGTTAAGAGGCGAGACACACTCTCTTGACGCACTCACTCTTGGACTCGCTGACTTTCGGGCTGGCTGGACTTGTGGACGTTGCTCTTGAAAACTGGCTTGAAGGAAATTCGAGTTGGATTCTCTCTCTTACTGACTGGCGGGTGGAACTTACTTGGGACGTTACTCGTGAAGCTTGCTCTTGGGATGAGTAAGAACAGGCGAGCCGTAATTGCCTAGAAAAAAACGTTTCTGACCTGAAGCTGAAAACCCTCTTCCTTGCGGCGTGCTGGTAAAGAGGCGAAATTTGAACGAGTTACCTGCGTGTTGACATAGGACTTTCAGGACCAAGCGGATAGCCGTCCTGGGCAGCAGTGCTCCTGTTTCTGTTCTACAGTGGTGAAGTGGCGTCGACATCATGAGAACCAGTGTCAAGATGAGCCCGGCCGACATGAACGCTTGATAAGATACGAGTCTTCCACTTCAAGATGTCCCCTCAAGATAAGTTTTATTTTTTTGGTGTGTTTGAACTTCAGGCAAGCTTTTCAAAAACGTCCTTAGCAGAAAAAAAAACAACGTCGAATCTAAAATTTAACTCTCATGCCTTAAATTGTTTCCCTTTCCTTTCTTTTAAATTACCAGACAAGCCTTAAGTTTTTTTTATGAATTTAAATGAAAAGACTCTCAGATGAGGTTAAGATTTTTCTTATTGTGATGTAATTGAATAAACTGATATTTAATCTGGAAAACTATTACAGTATGTTTTCTTTATGTATTTAATATGAACTTTTCCTTTTATATGTATATGTTTATGTTTTCGATCCTCTCACGGCGCGGTCCCGGGATGCATTTTTTTCACAACGCAAAAATGCTGTACACGTTTCACTATACGATCACTAAAATTTTGTTAGTTGGCAAATTCTTAAGAGTTTAGTTTTCCTCCCTAAGAGGAAGTAGAAACCTTTTCACGGCAAGTAGTTTCATAATTAACATTTAACATATAGGAGTTTCAGATATAACATGGTACCTTGAAGTAAAACTATTTAACCTTGGTGGCGAAACTTATCTTCATAACAATAGGCATTGCACTACACGAACTACGTCTACGTTGAATACTTGTAATTCCAATAAAAGTTTTTTCCGTCTCCTTCTCTTATGTTCTCCCTGGTCCTTTACAATGATCTTTTTTTACAAATGTTTCACGCCGGAAATTTGCGTCATACGTGTATTTTTCCAGCACCTTTTTATTGGGCCGATCAGTTTGCGCAAGAAAAAAAATTGAGTGTTGCCTTTCCAAAAGTTTGAAATCTTTTTACTATAACAGTAACCCTGAGAACTCTGTTGTTTTAAATCATCACAATATGGAGAGCATTGGCATATCTAAAATTTCATTTCGAATGGTTCAGCGGATAGATAGCTAAGGGTTCATAAACCAGAAAATTTTTATGACTACTTTTGAATATAAAAACCACTATTAATTCAATAAAGTATTAAAATTCATTTGTTAATAATAATTTGTTATATTATTATTTTGTTTCAAGCTTCGACAAAGAAGTTAACTATTTTTAAAAGGCAATAATTTCTCAGAATGAATGTGCAGTTCAATGAATGCTGTCAATTAGCAAAAAAGAAACTTTATTTTCAGTTTAAAATACAGATCTGTAGCGAAGAGAAAGGATATTATTTCTCAAATTCCTTCTAAACAAATACGTTAATACAAATTATATAAATAATATACGTAATTTCTTTGTCTTTTTTGGTTTTGAATAGAAATTCTCTCCTTTAAATGGAAAGAGGCTTGTCTACTTTCGTCTTCAAAAATCATAATTGCACTCACGTGTTTCTTGCCAATTGAAATGAATTATATAGGAAAATAGAAGTATGCTTTCTCCTCATCAAGGTTAAAATCAATATAATCACGTGGAGTATCAATATGACTATCCTCATTTTATGTGACATTGTACTCGTTGATACATATTTTTAAAGTTCCTTAAAATATGGCCTCTCGAATTCGTAGGAATAAATCCTCAAAGTCCGTACGATGGCACAGTAAAGTCTCTGTCCTTGAGATCAACTCTCAAACTTCCTCTAATACACGTCTCCTCTAAAATGTTTTATGAAACAGTAACATTTTTCAGGAACTCAGAAAACATTAGATTCTTTCAAGACAGCGATGATAAGAAATGTGAGGTATAAGCAGATAAGGTAAGCTCCATACAGTCGTTTCGTCTGGAAACGGCATACAACCATCATGATGACAGTAGAAATAAGACTTGCAGCCAACGCAGAAAACAGAATTGTTGTCAGTGGTGAGTACATAAGCTGAAAAGAAAAAACAAATACTTGAATGGCGACAGGGCATCACTTTATATCAGTGTATTAACCTCTTATCTTGTTCTAATACTTTTTTTCCCTGTTCATCAAATCTGTAACCATTCGAGAACAAATGACTTTTCATTCTTAGAACGAAAACAATTTATACAGTATGTTTGATTAAGCATTAAATGACATAATGATATGCATTAAATGACATTCGACTGAGAAATAAATATCTCCAATTTGTGAAGCACCTTTTGTTATGGCGTAAATTTTACGAGCTATACTGAATTTGCAAAATTTACAAATTAAAAGAAAGGAACTTTCAAAAGCTATTACTTTATTGAATGCATTTAGGTATTAACTGATTGAAATGAAATTTTTTACATGTTTTTGGTCCCTCTCTCTTACAGCTTAAGCAGAAATATCTAACTACACCTGAAAACTGGAAACTTATCATTACTTAAGCATACGTTTCCTGTAAAAACAGGTATTTCATGATTCAAATAGATGAAATAATATATCCGTAAACTTCGTATATTTATCAAAGTAAGCCAATAAATATGCATTTGAACCATGTTAATCATGCTCTTTCGAACAATCAGCATGGACCTGAAGTGTTACCGAGGTTTGCCGCATCTCCGGATTTATCTCTTAACGATCACATCTGGGACATCAGCCGGCTGTTGTAAAAGAAAGAGCCAGCTTAACAAATTTAACACTTTATGTGTCCAAGGGTTTTGCATCATTGCAAAACATTCCTAAGACAATAATTAACAACCTCCTCGACAGCATGCCAAGCCGAATGAGTGCACTTCAGAACATGCCGGCCATAGTCCATACTGAGTAAATCGAAATGATTTAAGTATTTTGTTTCCAGTTTTTGATAGTCTGCATATAATTGAAATGTTTTTCAATTTTGTGAATTACAAATTTTTATGACCTTTATTCTTTGCATCTGGGTGTTGCAATATCAATATTCAGCAGCATAATTTTGCAAAAAGCATATACAATTAAACTGATTCTAAGCCGTGTAAAATATTGAAGTTTAGTGTTCATAAATACGTCATTTCGAAAGCTTGTTTAAGAAATAAAGTCCTTTTCCTGCGATATATTAGATACAATGGCTAAATGAAAGCCCAATTAAAATAAAAATTAATTTGCTTGAAATATGTCCTAAAACTTAATGGCATAACTACAAGAAGCTCATCTTTACTTCTTGATAGCCTCTATTAGCATTAATCTATACAGTTTCTTTTTTTTTAAAGCTTTAAGTTTGTAGATCATTGGCTTGTTCTTTATTTAATCTCTTTCTGAAACCAATCAAAAAGATTTGCTCAAAGTTATATCTGGAAAATTGTTTATGATATTAAAAACAAAATTGTAAATACTTTATATTTTTAAGTTAAATTTTACACTATCTATATCGTTGACAAACATATTTTCAATGCTTGTGCAAAGCGGAAACAGCATTTCAATAGCTTTCAGAGAAATGCGGTTCCTTAAATTCTGTTCTTTAAAAAAAAAATAGCCAGGAAACGGACATGGATTAGGATAGAATTTTGATAAAGCGAATATTGCCTGAAAACCAAATTTTTGACTAATTTCAGAAGAAAAGAGGAAGAAAACTTTATTTAACATAGTTTTGTACTTTCGGCTTGCATCAATGTTCTTAGTGTCTTGAGGATTTAGTTTAAAAATGAGTCATAATTTAAGCAACTCTGTTATGAAACCAGTATCGAACTCATAGAAGTAAGGTAAATTGGAAATTAAACATGGCACCAAAGCTCAAGAAATATCCATCTAGCGTGCAGATTTTCAGAGGGAACTGGTTTACAATGAATTGCACAAAATTATTCAAATCCTAGTGCACTATTCTAATAAAATTGGAGAGCAAACTTCCTTTACTAAACCATTATACTCTCTTATTAAGCGACTCTAAAATTAGCTCTAATTTTTAACGTTCCTTTAAAGAAGTTTGCTTTATAATATTACTAAAGTTAAGAAATAAATTATCACTGCGAATTAAAGTTTTCTGTATAGATTCTGTTGATTACGATGATACACATATTTTCTTTTACAGATGTATTCATCTACATCATTTTACAAGCTTTTATGTATATGTTCATACAACAGATATGTTAATATGCCCTTTTTTCAAGTTGTCATTCTAATCAGTACTCTTATCATTCACTGACCTAATAAAATGCAGGAATACCACATACTAACACAAGTTACTTATAGCATCTGTATTAATAGGATATAATTATCAATACATTTTAAGCCTGTACATAATCTCAATTTCTTCCCCAAAATTATTTCGTTACAATATTGGCAGCTTAAACTCGTTGGTTGTTGCAAATCTGCTAATCCCTAAATTACACTGCTTCTAAAATCCATTAGTAAGTTTGGAACATACCATAGTTTCACTGCACGCACCGTTTGACGTCAGTAAAATGTAAGGTGAGATTTAATCAGGAAACGTCAATTAGTCGCAAGTTTACAAGCTAAAAGCAGCTTTTCTAATCTTAAAAACTCCATAACAGTACGATGAAAACACAGAGTGCTCATTTATCAAACTTTGTAAACTTTGTATTTGTAATTTTCCAGGAATTTATACATCCAGTATTAGTATACACTGTATAAATATTACTTTTGTGGAATCTGATTTGCAGCTGTGTCATTTTTTTTTTTTTTTTTTGCATTTAGAGAATAATTAAACTAAGTGTAAAATCCAAACTATTTCGAATTAAACGGTCTTCGGACGGAATTGGTACTTAATACCTAGAAAATAGAATGCCAAGTATGCTAACCATTGAAAGGATTTTGAGGAGGTAAACTGCAAGACACAGTTTATTAAGTGGTTAATAATAAAGCCCCTTTATTTATTTCTTGCATTGTTTGCTATCTTCAGCCTAGTTTTGAAACATGAGTCTTATTTCATCACTACTTGCGCACAGAAATAGATCACAAAGTGATTTGAACAAACATGTGTTACTTACATCCATTCCGTTTCCCCCATCGTCATCTATTAGTTTAATAATACATGGAACTCCAACTCCAAGCAGCAAAGCTAAAAAAGGTATAGTTAAGAAACTGTCCACTAAAAACACTTTATATTGGTTGCAAAACAGTTTTAGTATTCATTTTCGGTAATCCATATCAAAACAAAAGACAAAGTTGAGTTTTTTTTCTAATTATAATAAGTTAGTTTTACAGGAAATGAGATCTGCTTTGCAGATTTTAATTACATTTAGATTCTAATACTCATTTGGATTTTTGTCAAATTTTCTGTACTATATAAACTAATATTTTTTTCATTTATTATATGCTCTGTAGACAGATGCCCCGTGGAGGACCTTTTTAAGGGAAAATGGCTCGTATCCACGATACGCATTCGTTAGACGTTACACATTTTATGAAAACCACGAAAATCCCATACAGCCAAGCCGTTATCGTTGGGACTCGAACCATGGAGAGAATTACTAGCGGCTTTTACTGCTCGGTGGGCCATAAACTAATATCTACACCCATCTTTAGACTATTACACCCTTTAAACTATACAATGTGTTTCGAAACTTATGGGCAAGAATTTAAGGAAAAAGATGCGTATTAGGAATGCCTTCGCGAGTAAAGGTGCATTCATCTGCGAATAACACATGTGCACTGAAATCAGGCTGCGCTGTTAGCTGTTGCAAAAACCAACGTGCAGACTCAACACGTGGTGCAAAATCTGCAGGTTTCAAGTCTTGCACTTTCTGTTCATGGTAGGGGTGTAATCTTTCATCCCGTAATACTCACCAAACAATTAAGAGGAGCGCATTTACGACACGAGAACCCTCTCGTGTGATTTTAAACCTCTCGTGAAAACCGCACGATCTTTCATTCTTTGCAGAATGTCTTCTACAACTTGTTGCGTTCGCACACTCCTGCCATGCCACACCCTGTATCATGCATGACAGTAACAAAAGATCTCGTTCTCGATGCAGTCGCTCGAACATTTTTCGGTCTGGCACGTGTCTTCTCATACTGGCACGTGTCTCTGGTAGTCGAAACTGTACAGGCACGGTGCTTGTACAGTTTCAACTACCAGAGCATTCCAATTCGCAAGACCATGCATGCCCACCTTTACCTCATTACTGTACGTCGATATTGCCTTCTGAAATTCACTCTAGAAATAAACGATGTATATAAAAACTCGCGCTTTATTGCTTTCCATTGCAGCGCCGTCTAGCGGTTTGCCACTACATTGTATGGTCCGCCCATGCATTGCATAACGAAAATTGCTTGTTTAGATGTTTTCTATCACCCCTGAAAATTTTGCCTATGCGTGTTGAAACACCCTATATAGCATATAAAACCGTTCAAAAAGAGTGCTGCGTGTGTGTTTTGCTTATTTTAACATATTTCTTACAAACACAAGATTAAGTTGACTGAACAGTAATTCATATTCTATCCCTTTGACAAATTTGGGGAAACTCCTAGGTTTTCTAAAACTTAAAATTTCATGTACGATAACTCAATAACATTTTCCTTGAAAGTATAAATATTTGCAACCACTTTTAAGTCAACTTTATTTTTTTTCTTCGTGACCAGATCTCTATAGAACGTAGTGACAGTAATATTCTTGCAGCACAGTGTAAAAAGGATACTTAAAAACGGTGCTCCAAAGCAAGCTGCGATGCCCATTCTTGGAAAACCTTTCCTGGCGACTGCAAGGTTAGACAAGAAATCTGAAATACAAAGAAAAAATTAATTAATTTCAAGTTCTCGCAGTTCACGCATAATACCGTGATTTGATAGTTGACATGGATAAAAATTAACCTTCAAATAAATAATATTCAAGCTACAAATAAAAATCTCCTCCTCGAAATGATGATCTTAATTAATTTGCTAGTTACACTGTAAAGATCAAGGTAGTGGATAAAAATGAAATACAAGACCTCTTCTTCAGGGCAGAAGCTTTATTAATCGAAGCTTCCTAAATTGTAAACTAGTTTCAGATAGTTTCTGCTCAGCCATGAATAACTTAAATAATAATTTATGAGTCTTCATCACCGAAATAAAATATTCAACCGAATTTTAACATAGCTCCAAATAATAAGCAATGCATTTGGTTTGGCCTATTGAAACTACGGCAAAACACACTACAGCTATCTGCCTAAGGAGAAATATGCCTTCGTGGAGAACTTTCTAAGAGAAATTGCCTCCAAACCTCCGACCGCACTACCAGTGTTCAGGGACTTAACCGCTCGACACTGGTGAGCAGCATTTAGCGGAATACGATGACATATTTCGAAGGGCATCTCCCTAACCGAAAGGATGTCTTCATGGAGGACTATGGAAGAAAACTGACTCGTATTAGCATCACGCATGGAGACAACCTCTCAGGCTGCTATCTCTTTCGCCGGAATTCGAACCCGAGTTGAACCATTGGTTTTCAGAAATGTTGTCCACTGGTGGGTATGAACGAAATATATATTTTTTTTCTGGATTAAACATTATAAATTACAGTTTAAGAGCATAGTAACGTAAGACTAAAAAATGGCGCAATATTCCCTATTTTTTTCATACATTCTTCAGCTTCCGTTTACCGATTATTATATTTTTCCAATGAAATTTCTAACAGTTATCACGAACATGTTTAAATACTGAAAAATAGCAAAGATCTATTAAAAATTATTCTTTAAATGAGATTTCATTTCGTATATAATGAAGTAACATTAAATATTTCTTTCTCAATTAAATAACCAAGTTCCTTTTGTTATGAGCTTTCTAAGAACTTTAATGAAAATAATTAATTTTCCGTTTACCGAGAGGACGCTTGAACTACTTTACTGATTGTAAGAAAAGTAATTTTACAAATGTTTAATTATAGTGTTTTCTTTATCTCATTTCTTTGACCAGCTGCTCTTCTTTTCGTCGGACAAAATCAATAATCTTGACTTTTCAAAGACAAATCAATTAAAATGTAAAGAACTATTCAAATCTCATTAGTTAAGATTTAAAATTTTTCCTAGGAGTCTTATGGAAAAAGACTGTCTTCTTTTATATGCCAGACACATTTTTTAATTCAATGGAAGGCAAAATTGGCATTCAAATTATTTTTAAGGGTGTAATAATGTAAGGTTTTTAATTCATGCGAGAAAAAATTTTTTCCTTAGTGATATGTACTTGAGTAATACACTGCACATATAAATAGAAATATTCTTTTTCAAAACTATCGATTTGAAAGTTAAAGTGTTTCCGATTTTCTATATTTGAAGAAAGTATGCTCTTCAACTTACCAAGTAAGCAATTCCCCCACGCCAGTATGGTAAGCCCCAGGATAGAGTCACTAAGATTAAAAGCCACGCCGACAGCCTGTAAGGATATAATATTGATTTATTTTAAGATTTCTGGTTTTGAAAAAGCAAGCATTTTCTCTTAAAGAAACTCATATCAGATCTTTATGAGATACAAGACTATATAATGCATTAACAACATTAAGCTGTTAAATGCTCATATGAACATTCCATTATATAAAATCAATAAATTTATGTTTTATTGCCAATTTTGAAAACGTAATTCCTACAAACAGCGATTTAATGAGATAGAAATAATAAACAATTGAGAAATATTTAATGACTTTTTTCGTCTTTCATATTAATAGATAATCTAAGTGCAGTTACTCTCTCGTAAAGCTCCGTAATAAAAAATACATTACCTTCCTTTTTCACAATGAAAAAATATGTATGAATTTGATGAAGACCATTATTTGTTACAAGATTAAAATTTTTACTTAAAAGCAAATAGTATATGATAATACACAAGTCGTGAAACTTAATAAAGAAGTGGAAATTTTCAGTTAAGCTGAAGAGTGCATCCAAAGTTCAGGAGGGCAAAGACATCGGAAAGTAGAATTTGGAAATTTCCATAACAAAATTTTGAAGCCTGGAAACCTAATCTCATAAAAGCCTTTAAAGATCATGTGCAAAAGATATCTTAAAGTAGGAAATGGAAACTCAAACAGCAAATGTCTAAACCCTGTTTTGACAATTTTTATATTCATAAGCAACTTTTGTTCCGATTTGAAACTAGAAACCTTGTTTCTCTAAAGGTTACGAGATCTAAGCACTTTATTACTAGTATATAAGAACAGACATTTATTACAGCAGATAGTTTAACATTTATTTAATGGAGAGATTTCTCGCACTGTTAAGGAATCCTCTAATTATAAAAAGTCATAAGAAATCATAACATGAAAGTCAATACCATGATTTATAAATATAATATTAATCATTGTTATAAAGTTATATATATTAACTTAATGAATTTACTCACAATTCTAAAGCGAAAAATTATGAAATAATTCAGTTAATGAATTCAGTATGAAATTATTGCACTAAAAGGTGCCTGGAAAAATGTTTTCTGATTTAGATAAAATTTCAAATGTATAACTGAAAAGAAGAATTTATAATATTATCTATAGATTTGATAATACATCTAGCACTTTATGAAACGATAAAAAGAAGTTTTATTTTAGTACTTCATTAAAATTGCAAAAACCAGTCATTATGTTTAAAATAATCTGCTAGTAATATATTTATCTTTAAGAAATTCAAGTAATTAAAATAAAACTAAAATTTTGGGCTCTTATTATAAATGGGCTCATCTAATTTTGCATCAAAATTTAGTTTGCAACAAATAATAATTTTAGTGTTCTAATGGGAAAATATCATAGAGTTGTCTCTAATTTAGATAATATAAAGAAATTCTTCTTCGTGCTTTATGAGATAATTCAGCGATCGTATTTCAAAGATTCTGTCAGCCTATTATAAAGCGAGAACAACAGCAAAAAAATTGGAGAGAGGTGTCAATTCACTTTAAATATCTCGCGTATTCTCTCACAGCAGAAACGCGGGACACTTTCTTTTGAATTTCTTAAGAAGCTTTTGATGCAAGGCATTGTCTTTCACACCGTCAATTAAGGATCTTTGATTTTACTTTCTCCAACTCTTGTCTTCTGAATAGAGGTTTTTATAACTGGCGAATAGTCTTTGACAGTTTGACAATTATTGCAAAGTGAGACAGATTTTTAAGCACAATTTAAAATGAAAAGATTTTCAGGCTTAAAAAATTCTGGCATGCTGTGTATCACTTCAGTGTGAGGATTTCAACGAAACACTTTCAATTAAATTTTTTTCACGTTCTAAATGAATATTTCTTGAAATACCTTTTTATCACAAAATTTTCCATTCACATTTTTCTCTTTATTTGTCCTTTTCATAAGATTAGTAAGTTTCCGCACATCTTTATCAAATTTTCAAAATATTTAAATATGCATCGTTGACATATTTAAATGGATGAAAACGTTATGGCAATTATGAAAGCGAAAATTATTTATATGTCTTCTTAGCCTTTATATAAGTAGTACTTTATATAGTTTTTATATAAGTCTTCTTAGCCATTTGATGAATTTGAACTCTCAAATACAAAAATAACTTTGGATTTACTACCTGTTAATTCCTTAACAAAGCGTCATCTTCGAAATGTTCATTATCGTGCTGCAAATATTATTGCCTAAAATTCAGTTGTTCATTTTCTGAATATAAATTGACAGATGAAACAAAGTTCAAAACTTTACTGCCACAATGGAAATAATTACACAAAAGCTGATTGCTTGCATTAAATATTTAAAATGAACCGTCAGTTCAAGTACATTTTGCTCTCTATATGAATACAGAAACGAAATCCTTCATAATGCGCACCGATACTTCAAAAGCCAATAAAATATATCACAGCTTGAGTCAAATATGTTTGATTTTGAAGCATAGGCCATATATAGAACATCTATAATTTGGTGTTTTGGTTTTGTTCTGATAATTACAGATACTCTATGTAACTCTTTAAACAAAATGCTCAGCAAAAATATAAACTCAATCTTTTCAAAAAATGCTGCAATTCATTTAGGCATCTTCTCATTAACATATCAAAACGCTTTTATTTTAAAAAATTAACAGTAACAAAGTTTACGTTCAGTTCTGAAGCTTTGCCCGCAATATGGCCTAAGTGATCTATAATCTTCCTCTCATTTTCATAATTCATAATAGGACTGCCTTGAGAAAATTTCAGGTAAAGAAGAAAAATGCTGTTAATATTTAACGAGAATTTTTCCTGCTTTTATTAAGGTTGCAAGTTAGAAACAGTTTCAAACAGTGTTCACTGCTTTTCAAATTTTTTAAAGGAGCTCAAACAGACTTCCCAAAGATATTGAAAAATTATTATGTAGTATAATTTTTAAAGAATGGCTAACTAAATAAAAGTGAAAGATAGCCTAACTGGTGGACACAAAATAGGCCCAATAAAGTGCAATAAATTTTCTCGCCGTCATTTAAGTTATGTAATACGCATTTTGTACTTGAGATTTACCGCTTATTGGCTGGTAATTAACCAACTTTGTCAACCTGTGAATATTTTTTATGGAAGTTCATGTAACTCAAAATGTTTCAAATTCCAGATGCCAGAGCTGAATCTTATTAATGGTCTGGTCAATACCCGGAAAGAGAGGAAGTACAACACCGGTTGATAAAGCATTTTTATGATTTTAATAAAAGCTTGCTTTTTAAATGAAAAATTAAAATCATTCTACAATTACGTTTCTCATTTTGTGTAAAATATTTCGCCTTATCTGAGCAGAACTCTAGTTTATTTCCGCCTCATTACAAAACGAATTTTACGTTATTTTTCGTCTCTTGTGACACGAAATCAGTTTGTTAATTAATTAAAAGAGTTTATGCCAGTAAAACCTTTATGGAAATGTCTACAAGACAGAAAGCATCATTATCAAGTTATTATTTCTATTTTCGTTATTATAATGTTGTAAAAGAACGAATCACTTACGATCTATTCTTTCATACTTTTAGTACTTTTCACTTTTTTATAATACTCTAAATGCACTTCATTACATTTCTAATAAAAGTAATCAGAAACATGTCATTTGCATGAAGATTTTTCTATGTTGAATCCCTTACGTATAAAAACAGAAAAAATACAGGCCATTACGAATTCTGAATGCGTTATTGACAGTTTACGGCATTGATGCATGTTATACTGCATATTTTACGTACAAAAATGAAACAAAATTCCTTGAAGCAAATGGAATTTTAAAGGTTAGGATTTCTTTCACGTACGATACGCCTTCTTCCGGTCAAGCGATAAAGTCGCTGAACACTGGTAGTTCTGACTAGGTTCAAATCCAAGCGAATGGGCTGGTTGCATAGACGTTTTCTTGCTTTTCCCCATGTGTAACGTGTATACGAATCATTATCCCTTAGAAAGTCCTCCACAAAGGCATCCCTTCTTAGGCAGATAGCTCTAGTGTGCTTTACCTTAATTTCAATAAACCAAACAAAACCAGGATTGCTTCCACGTTCTTGATTTGCATAAGACTGGCTTTTTTGGTTAAATAAGGCACACTACGGCTATCTGCCTATGAAGAGAGATGCTTACATGGAGGACTGTTAAAGCGAAATTCGGCCCATATTTAGTTTACGCTTAAGGATAATATCAGAAATTCCATGCAGTCAGTATATTCAATAGTTGAAGAAATGAAGAAAAGGCGAACTACCAGTGCTTCGCTACTTCTAGACGCTCGGCCTCTTATCTACGCACGTATTCTTCCATCCTAAATGATAATAATATGAAGTTGCTAAGCAGTTTCGTTTTATGAAGAATAAATTGCAAAATTCTGATAGCAAAATATTAAGCCGAAATTTTAGGTGGTAAAACTACATTTGGTATAAAAATGAGGAAACGCGATTAATTTGTAGTAATTAAAAACATACTGACATATACAATAAGCCGTGTATTGTTAAATTAAAGTAAAATATTATATCTGAGAAATGATACACTTGAGAAATTATAAATGTTAAATAAATGTATGCTCCGAAATTACAAATGGTTACGAAATGTATTCATTCAGAGTGAATATGAAACTTAGATTACCTGAAGCAACACTACGATTTCATTTGCAATACAATAGATCCAAACAACAGCAACGCCAAATCCCATGTATGCAAAGACTGTATGGAATCGAGGCACTATATCAGGCGTTGTTATGTAGTAAATTGTACCCGCAATCACCGAGGAGATTATGACGACAATGGCTAATAGAGGCATTACTCCTCCAATCATCGTAAAGCCAACTATAAATAAGAAAATAAGTCAATTAATTAATCATATAACCTAGAATAATTTTGGTACTCTTCTGTCATTTCGCCTGGACTCAGAAATGTATGTATGTACATGTGTGTATGGATGTGCATGTTCATGTATGTATGTATATAAGTACGTACTTACTTATGTATGTATGTGTGCATACATATGTCAGTCTATACACACACGTACCCTATATGCGCACATATATACATTTCTGATCCGGTCCCGATAACAGACGAGTATCTAATTTTGTGTTGCATTTTAAAGAATTAACATTTCGTTAAACATTTCGCTCAATAAACGTTTCCCGTTCCTTGTATTTATAAATAATTTCCATTGCTATATTTTCTAAACCTATTAAATAATGTAAATTACTTTATTATTTATTTGAATTTATTTGAGCATTTTTTTTAACATTGCATTATATTTTTTCTGGGACATACGATTTTAACACCAACCCTCAACAGCACTGTTACCTATCGAATACCTTTAAAATCTCCTCTATTGATCGATAGATGGCACCACAGTAACGATGTTAATCTTGTCTGCATTACTCGCGCACTGTGACCAGATATAAATATTTGCTTGATTTCGCAGGTACATTAAGGAATCCCTGCTGTATGCCAGAATAATAACAATAGTATCAAAGGTACATTTAGCTTATGAGCAAAAAAATTATAGAGGCCAAAAATCTGTCGCTTAGTTTCTTTTAATCAAATCAAAAGAATAAAATATTTTGGTATCTATTTAAATGCTTAGACCCTGTCTAAAATATACAATATTATACCATGCTGCTTTATACGTACGCATGAATATTGCATTTTTATAGATAGCAATTAATACTAGAGTACCTTTATAGCAATTAATTCTACAGTTCATTCTTATGAATATTACTATACTAGCGGAAGTACCCGATGTCAGTTAAGTTAGATTGAGAGTAATGTATTATTTACACATGAGATCATTTGAAAATTCGTATAATAGCATATTACACGTCGTAAGGAATATGATGCGTCATTGTAATGCATAAAAAATGCCAAAGAAACGAAGTAGTATTCAATACATGTACCACAATTGACTACGTAATTATAGAATCATATGGTATATATACCCATATGACATATGGAATTGCTATTTGGGTCAGCAAAAGTAAAAACAAATACATCATTAGTTTGAGCTGAAAAATACGATTCATAGTGATACATTTTTCAGTCTGATGCGATAGGGAACCCATATAAAAATTTCGATAGAAAAACGGACTAATTATATCAGCAACAATGGCACGCAGGCATCGTTGCTGATATATCACTGTTGCCATTTTTGCTGATATCATCACTGTTACCACTCGGAAAAATGAATTCTTTAGATGTTATCTTTCAAAGCTTCGCAGTATTTGCGTTATTTCTTAAGATATTTAGTAACAGCTGATGGTCATAATCATACAGTTAATAAACATTTCGATGTATTTCAGATAAAGAGCAAAATAGCTAGGCGGAATTATTTAATGTTATCACCATAATGTTTTCGGCCACCATATTTATTACTGAACGTTTCAGAAATTTATTTACCTTAATATTTGAAATAAATAATTCAGCCTCTTACTCCACGAAATTATTTTCTTTTCACTCATCGACACTGAATGAAGCAGAAGAATGAGCTGAAATATCAGAAATGCAGAAGAGCGAACATCTAAACTTTAACAGTTTATTACCAAAAGCAAAAAAAGCAGTAAACCCCAGGCAATTGCATTTTAATGCAAATGACTGTAGCAACATAATCCTGCGACACGAAGATTAGAAAAGGAACACTATTTTCAAACATGTCGGAAAATATTATTGCAATTAACTTAAATGCGTATATTTAACTATAATGGCACACTCCTTTTCACCACTTCGTTGAATAAATAATGAAGAGTTGGAGATATTTGTATATAAATTCGAGATCATTTTCAGAAAACAGAATTTTGATTTTTATGGTGTCAATGAAAGTATTCTCACTTGTTTCTACATTTCATTAAACCCGCTTTACTACGGTACAAGCAGCGTTTCCAAACAGACCTTTTCCCTTCCCAGTATACCTTTCATTAAACAGACACTTTTCGTCTACTCAAATCCTAACGATGGAAATTAAAATCTCAGTGAAAGGATTTTTTGTTTTATACTTGCCGATACTGCATAAAACCTCAATACTTATTCCTCTTAGTTCTTCATCAAGGAAGGTTGTTTCTAGAAATTTTACTTCAGCAAAAAGAAAAAAAAATCATCCTAAAGTGTTTTTACTAAACTTCCGTTGTTACTTAATAGTGATAGTGAATTTATTTACTAGAAAGTTCACATTTATCTATCTTAAATATCCAAATGGAGTCAACATTACTCTCTTAGACATCACGAGTGCTGGAAGATTGTTTTAAGAACTTATCTCGTTTCTTGCTAGTTCAAAACAAATTCAGTTTAGTATTCATATTGTTAGAATATTATTTCGAGATCGGAATGTGTGTAAATAAATAGTTTTCTAGCAAGAAGTTAATGTTACTTACATCCAGTTCCCATGATTATAAAAACTGGTCCAGTAACAATATGAAGACAGTTGAGAACTCGACACCAGTTATCCCTTGGGCTCTTGTAATCGACAACAGGTGTTGTTATCAAAAGAACAAATAATACAGGACTCTAAAATATATAAAGTAAAATTACTACCATGGAGAAAAATATTGTTTACAAAAGTTAATAAAAATAGGCTGTATAACAGGCTATAAATCTTCTCTCAAAAGTCAAATTTATTTTACGAAATAAAGACAGCAATTTGAAATAAAATCTTATTTATGTCTTTATCATTTCCCGATATCTTAATAAAACGAAAGTGATACAACTTTGTAAGGTTTACTTACTTAACACGTTTTGCTTATGTTAAAATGAGTTGGCATCATCAGCCGGACGTAAAGTAATCCTCTCCTTTCTCCCGAAGTGAGCGGTATTTGGCTGAAGTTGGTGAGTTTCTCCTTTGTTGATGAATATTAAATAATTAGGGAAATTTTCCTATTCATGTGCTTAAATGGAATTTAAATAAATGAAATGTAAATAATTTCAATTCCTTTAATTTGTTATTTCCACGACTCACCAGCGGACGAGCAGTAAAGTCGCTGACCACTGCTAGTGCGGTCCGAGGTTCGAACGCCGAGAATGGGTTGGTTGCACGGGCGCTTACGTGGTTTTCCCCAAGTGTAACGTATATACGAGCCAGTTTCCCTTAGAATGTCCTCCACGAAGGCATTCCTCCCCTTAGACGGATAGCTTCGAGTGCTTTGCCGTAACCAAATAAACCAAACACGTGAGTCTCGAAAGTCAGTTTGTGGTGGTTAGTTTAGTTCTTTATTCCAGGCTGAAGACAACAATGCATTTAAGTTGATTTTATTTCTATTGCATTTAATGTTTTGACACTATAGCAAATCTGGACGAAATTCATCAAGTTATAAGTTTGGACTAGTTTTAAATTAAACTAAATCGATCTCAATATTATAAATATAACAATTCTTTGATACTAAATAGACATAACGAAGCGAATAAAATTATATTTTATGCATAAAATCAATTTATCTCTTCATATTCAAAACACCAGGGAGAGATTAAATTGTTTTATTCAGTAATTACTTCATCTCTGACTCAATACTTGCAGATCTTTAACATAAATTTAAGCCTTTTCTTGCATGAAAGTTTTATAATATTTCTATTTAATATGTATTTAATTAAGCAACAGTACTGCAAGCTATCTAATATGATCTCTTTTGAATATTGGTAAAATAAGAAAATACTCCATAGTTAACATTTTAACATGGAAACATTCATAGCTGGGCTTAAAGTAGTTCAAAGAATATGAAGCATTTTCTTCATGTATACGAAATGTTTTAGCAATGAAAATTAAAAGAAATGTATGTGAGCATTTCAAAATTGAAGCCAAGTATAAAAGATAACGAGGGACATATTTTAAAGAAATATATGCATAAAGGTCTCACTGCATGACGTACTTTAAAGATATCAAGGCTTCTCTCCATCCATGACTGCTTCGACCATTCCTGCAGATTTACAGGGCAAACCTTTTCAGCAAAGTCGCGCCACTGGTTAACTGGTTCTGGAAGCGGAACCTTTTCGCATTTTTCTGCTTTGAAATAATCACATCCAGGAGAACATGTTCCGTTTGCTATGTAATTCTTCACTTCTGTCTCTTCATAGCCTGATGAAAATAAATAAAATCCGTAAGTTATTAACCGGTGTTGTTATCAAAACGCAAAATTGCAAAGAAATATATTATAATCAAAACATTTCAATGCTTTTCAAGTATCATTTATTCGAAATTGACTTACTTGGTGGCAGTTCTTCAGGAATATTTTGCAAGGAGATAGCAAAAACTTCATTGTCGTAGCAATAATGGTTTAGAGTGTTTCTTCGCCTATCCTCTTCCCAACAGTACTTGAAAAAGGCTACAATATCAAATATAATTAACTATCATGTGTAGGGACTAAAACTGCATTGCATTGAAAAGGGAAAATAAAACCAAAACGTATTTGCGTTTTTTCATATAAATATTTTACGCATGAATAAACAAAAGATAACACACAAAAACAACTGATCCAATTAGCATTTGCGTTTAGATAAAGAGAGGGGAGCACTAGCGATGTGGAAGAAAGCATGAATAAAATAGTTAACTTATGTTGTGACTTCTTTTCAAATACTTGTATTTATATATATTCCCTGTTGCTATCTTGTAAAGGAATAGCGTTTTGTAATTCTTTTCACTGTCACATTAATTTGTAGTGAACGTGTTCAATTACATGGACATTGGGATTGAATTTATTACACGTCTTGTCGCGCAGTTAAATGGTGATTTAAGATAAATGAGCTTTATCGTCTTTTATTCAAGTGATATAATTTGTTCCAGAGATAAAAAGCACGCGCAAGAATCCAAGACCTCATTCCATTGCTCCTTAGCAATAAGAGCTGGAAAGATTAGGTTACCCGGAAAAAAAATTTGCAGTACTCCTTCTCCCTAGTGCATGGTTTCCTTGATATTCCTCCCGATATTCTATACATGTCTTTTCGTTATATATGAGCTTCTACCTCGTAGAGGTTTACGGATAGTAGTTTAATTTAGCAGTAAACACCGTATTATTCTTTGACGCAGAATCCAGGATGCAAGAAGCTGATTTTAAGTAAAATAGGCCTTTTTCTTTCATTTAAAACAAATCCAATCTATCTCGGTCTCTCTCAAGTACTTTCGCTCTTGAAACTTGCATTTATTATTTGCCCGAATAACTACTTCCAATTTTGCAAAACTTTCGGACCAGAATGACTTATTTTGAGACCCTTGAGCGTTTGACATTTATGATCAGAAAATTATCATTCCGTATGAATTGATGAATGAGTGAATGCTCCAGAGTATGAAGTTTTCATTGCCGAATTATCATCAATGAAACAGACCGTCTTCTGCCCAAACTTAAGTTTGCCAAACCGTTCGGATATCCTTTACATCACCACTGCACGAAGAACGATGTCATTTATACAGCAGCCCGAAATCAAGTGTAACGTAATGCCATATAGATACCTTGCTCTATTGCTTTGCACATTTGTTCTCATTCTCCATCCTAAAGAATAATCGAAGCAGCATTTTTTGGATAATAGGGTCATGAAGTATATTCTATCTCCTTTCCATATGCCTTCGTTTTGTAACTAGAAGCGCACTCACGCTTATTCGGGAGGCCTGGATTTCGAGTCCTGCGAGGGCACTGAACATGTTTAACCTTCCTGCATCGATATAACCTAAAAACACTACGTGTGGCGCCCGAACAAAATGGCGGACGCTAATTTGTCACCACCAGGATTTAATGACTGTGTCCTCTAATTCCCAGTCGCCCTTTAAAAAGGGAGAGTATGTAAAGTATTTTCTCCCTCCTTTCCGCATGCCTGTGTGGTATAACAGGAAGGACGTTGGACGCGTATTCGAGAGGTTCGGAGTTTGAATCCCGGCTAGAGCACTGCACGTTTTTCAGACTCCAGCATCGATATAACGTAATGACTGTATAATTTATCCTACTTAGCTTCCTTTTAACAGTAAACTAGCCAACAAGAAAATTTTGTAAAGCACGTACGCTTGGTGAATCTGATTTTGACTGTCATGTAGTCTGTCGCGTTTAAAATAGTATGTTGCAAAATCAGTATCTTTTTTTGCAACAATAGACAATTAAGTTACAATTTGCTGCAATAAACAATTAAATTACAATATAAGCTGAGCATTCACTGAGAGACAGCTGATATTCAGTTATTTCAAGCTTATCTCTCAGACGTTGCCCAGTTCACTAGTAGAACGTAGACCGATCTTGCTTCCAAAAGGTAGACAAATAAACATAGACAGCTAAACTTTATGCTGGAAGTGAACTCACTTCTTCTAATCATCATAATGCTCGAAGTTGATTTTTGAAATGTTTATCATAATATTTTTAAATAATATGAAATGGGCTATGTATTATTTTAAAAGAAATGATGCTGCAATGAATGGAATGTTTCATTGTTCCTAGGTAGTGAATTTGATCAGTTGACTCTTTTATAAAAAGCAATAGAAGCTCGTATGTAAAAGTACAAGTGATATAACACTGCCAAACTACTTTGTTAAAAATTAACTGTTATCTTAGAAAGTGGTTTCTACTTAACCTTTACAAATCTGAAATCGTAAAATTTTAAATGCTAGGACGAGTTTAAAATATGAAATAACTATTTCTTACCAGTAAGAACAACACCGTAGGCTTCTGGGTTATCATAATCAGCTGCCTTTGAGCCTTTGATTTTCATTCCCTTCTCAACATTTGCGGCTTCTAAGATAAACAAAATAATTACATTTATTTTTAGAAGAACTCAATAGGCATAATCTTAGAATGAAAATAAAATGAAATATGAGAGTGGGGTTTCTTGCCTTTTACCTTTTCATCTTCTGGTAGGACCCAAACTATGTCTTCGTCAATTCAGAACGTAGCCCCTCAGACAAGCACACAAGGCTCGCCACTAGGAGCTTCTAAGAGCAATAATTGTGTGGAAAGGGTAGGTATTTATCTGCAAGATAGTGCTTATGAGAGCTAGAAACAGACTATAGCAAGCCTTCGTTAAATGGAAACCATCTCTCTGTCAGGATCTCTCATAAATTACAGCACTAAATTCCTAAACTACTCTTTACCGTTATCATTCCAGAGAGATGCAACTTTTCTTAATGAAAATTATTTATGGTCAGGGATAAGACACTATTACAAGAAGTTCAGTTATTGAAGTTGCCAGCCGAGGCAGCTTTTTGTCATTTTAGTAAAATGGTGAGTTTTGACACATTAAAGCAGTTTTGCTAATAATATACACACAAATTATGCGTTACATACATGCAATATTTCATATAAAGTCTTATAAAAATTTCACTTTATATTATATAAATACATAATATTTTCACAGGAAAGCATACATATATTTTATAAAAGTTATCAATTTATTCCAGTTATTTTTAATTTTTTTAAAATTTAATAAACTTTTCAAACTTACCCGCAGCTTTATCAGAATATTGAAGGTGTTTCTGATGTATAAACCTACTCGTTACAACCACGATGATGTATACGATATAGAGTATGACAAAGCCTGTGGGAAAAAATTTCGAAACATCATATCACTATTCCAATTTTAAGCATTACTCATAATCATTCTATAAAACTACCAAGCAGGTTTACTTTAATGCGAAGAAAAGTATTAAAATTTAGAGAATAAAATTTATGGTCTCGGACCCTTTTTAGCCAAATGTTAGTACAGTTATAATTTAACGCACTGATCGGGAAATGGCCGAGCCTATCGGCCATTTAGCCGACCATCGTGGAGAGCGATGTGCAGGGGACAATCGAATTTATATCTTTGAATGGGAGAGAGGGCACACACAATCAACCCTTAAGCTGGATTCATGCCCTTAAACCCTAGCGCTGGGCTAGCAATCACCCTTTGCCAACCACTCAACCGTTCAGGTCAACTACACGGCGTATCTTAAATTCTTTTTTTAAAGTTTTAGAATTCATAATGCTTAAGAAAGTGAGAAATCATTTTTGCGAAATATTTTCCTAGCGTAAATTTAGTATTCCAGTGGTCCTGGCTGGGATCCAAGATGCTTGTGTACCACGTTGCCCAGTGCAATTTTGATACCTTAATCTACTGAATGGTAGGGATTACTATGATCCCGTTTGCCCTTGTTAGGGTTAAAAATCACTTTTCATTTCATAAACAATTTCAATTTCATTAACGTTTTGGTAAATATCTCATCACAGTGATTGTAAAAATATTATTTATCTAAATTATTATGTACTTCTAATCTTAATCGAAAAATAATGTGCATTAGACTTAAAATGTCAAGCAGTACTACATTCACACACTTACCAACAGCATGATAAATGTATATGTGTCTAGAGAAGAACAAATAAAATGCTGCACCCGCTGCAACCATGTAGAAAAAAACGTCTCGCAAGAATGGCCGCTTCATCATTCCAAAATTCTGCGTCAGAAATATAGATCCAGCAACGACTGTCGTGACAAATATTCCACCACCTGAGTTAAATGCATATATATTTACATAAAATTAACTTACATTTTTCTTCAAATAGCTTTTCATAAGAATGAGTTCATTATTTTGTTTATTATATTGTATACCAACTACATAAAGAACACGGTTATAAATTTAATTATATTTTATACTATCGAAATAAAGTCTTCTCATATTATTATTTTGAACTGTATTAAAATAAGAAGTTATAATATATATTAATTATAAAGTCATTAATCATAATAATCATTTAATAAATATTAACTAATTTTAAATCTTATTAAAATTAATTTAATAATAAATCCTATTATAATACTATAATAATTATAATTATCGCAGTTAGTTATCATAATCATATTACAATCCTAATTATAATAAATTAACTATTATAATCTTGTTTGAATAAGGAATAAATGGTTAATTTTTTATTATATTAAACCTAACTGAAAGTAAATTGTACTTAGCTCAAAACATATTTTATTCGGGAGGATTCCTTTCGAGAAAGCTTCTGTTCTTATTTAGAAATTTCAGCTTACTCTAAAGTACAATGCTGTTGATAAACAACAACCAAGTGAGACTTCAGTATGAACAACTGGTTTTCCTTGATTTTTTTAAGATGAACACGAATACGGTTAAAATTATTTATTAGATCAATTTCTGAAGACATGAAATTGCATTTGATCAAAGTTTGATGTTACGGTAAAAGAATCCGAAAGTTTTTTTTCTATTTTCAAATATTAGATTTATCGTAATTTCTCTTGCAAAGAAGGTATATATGTTCATTAATAAAACTTAATTGGCGATTTAGAAACTTTTCTAAACAATCTGTAATCGAAATTAACCTTTTAAATTCAGTTTTTTTAAACCCCACAAATTTCATAAAGAAATATTTAGTATCAATTAAAACTTCAATTTTATTCATGCAAAATAAGAATCTTATCACAGTGTTATCATCTGTCATAGATAATGACATGCACTTTTTTCAAGTATACTACAAATCATTCATAACGTGTTACCATTACTGAAGTAGAAAGATTTGCAAGTCAATTCAAAATAACTGAAAAAGGAGTAATAGAAGAGAAATAGGCTGTTAAAATTAAGTATAATTAATCGCAAACAAGAATATCTAAACTTGCGACACAATAAATGCGTAATCCGAGAAAATGGCAAAATTAGCTGGAAGTGCTTCATTCTAATAATATTTTAGAATGTATTTAACTCTAATTTGTAAATAATAAATAACCAATAAGTAATAATAATAATGTTGCTACTGCGAAAATATGTAAATATGAATTCAAGTAAATATTATGTAACTAATAAAGCGATGAAAATTGATTTAACACGATAAACAAATGAGGAAATTCAAAGTAAAGTAAATATAATAAGTATGAAATTATTCCTGACTGCACTTCCATTGCACCTCATCTATCATTATCAAAATGTTGTTGTTTTGGAAAACGCTTTCACTACAAGTCTGCGACAAACGGCAAAGATTTCATAAAAAATGAACCAAGTTCCAAATAACTGGAAACTGAACACTGAAGCAAACTACGATTTCATAACAGAATTTTTTTACATGATTATAATGAAACCACAGAAAGTTATTTTCTTCACAGTGTCTTATCTTCTTACGTAACATGGTCTAAAAATTTAAGTTTCTCTTGCCAATAAGGGGACTTTTTTTTAGAAATCCTCAGTACCTTCATAACTGTAGTTTTCCTCTCTATATCAAAAGCTAAAAATATTCGCAAATTGTCCTTACTGGAATATAATAATACCTATGCATTATTTAATATGAAGTTTTAGTGCTAACGTAATGCATATAAAAATATATTAGTGTACAATAAATAATAAATATTTTATTTGTATTATAATTCAAATTTATGCTGAAAGCACGCATGAAAGTGATGATGATGTTTCGGGCACAAATAAGAACCAAGCTTAAAATGAAATGATGATAGTTTTGGTACAAGTAAGTACAATTTTAAACATGTAAATGTAAACAAAACAAATATTTCAGTAATACGTTGCTTTAAATTCATTTTTATGATGCTGATTAAAAATAGCATCAATAGCACCAAATGTTAGGCATCACATATATGACAAAATTTGTTTCAAAACTCACCTATGAGACCACCAATCACCATCTCCGTTTTTCCTTGGTTGATACCAGCAATAGCAGAAAATATATCGGGAGAACCGTTCCCGAATGCTAGCAGCGTAACGCCCTTCAATTGTAGTTAAGGAGAAAATTTTATAGACTTAAATATCAACCAAAAAGACTGCAAATGTATAATTCATACATAGGTATGTATGAAAAAAAAAACGGTTAGCGATTTTTAAAAAATCAGATTTTTTTCTGCATTTCAAAGCTATGAAGATTACATTTCTTGCACGTCGTTTAAGTAGAGATTTTTGAGTAAAAGGTTTTCTTCAGCTTATATTATGCTAAGTCAGATATAGAATAGCCACTAATTAAAGACCATAGAATTTCCTATGACTATTAATGACCATAGAAAAGCAATTTTTCTTTAGTTTCTCCGAATTTCTGTTAGCATTCCTAAAGCTTAATGATAAGCATTTGTCCTTGTAATAGCATAATTATATGGAGAATAATAAATATAAATATTTTCTAAAAGAACTCGCGGAAACTATTATCATTTATCGGGCTTATTCACTTTCCGTCTTTAGTATTTATATAATGTACTCTGAAGAATTTTTATTCAAATCATTTACCTCAGAAACACAATAATGTTTCGCACGGGTTAGAAACAAATTTTAAAAAATTCTATGTCTCTGTGAAAATTCTACGAAAGTTCCAATGGAAGCTCATATATAAATTACAACCATAAAATATAATTAAAGAAAAGGAAAATTTGATTTAGAATGTCGTTTTACGGGAAATCAAAGGCATTTGTAATGCGATTATTAATATTATTGCTATTTTATATCAACATTTTAGCGCTGTAAATTAAAGTTCCTTACTTTAATTCAGCGAGCTCTTTTTACCATTCGGAGACCAAACTTTAATTATATAAATATTTGCAGGATGGATTATTGTAACAAAGCTCATTACTGACATTTCATATGCATTCAAACATGAATATTAAATGAAGGATACGGCCACATTTTGAGACATCTTGAGCGTCTTTGATATGATGAACAAGGATGGGCACAAGCTAAAAAGAAGAATAAATGCGACTTTTACGTGTATATAAAAATAACACGATACAAAACAAAACAAAAATCTTGAAGCAACTAGCATTTTTTTTTTTTTTTTTTTTTTTTGTTAATATTTTAGTCGTTTATTTAGTAAAATTTGAAGTATAATTCGAATAAATATTTCCCAAGTATTCAAGAAGTCGCGAAGTTGCTTGACAAGTTCTTCCCTTAATAGATAATAATACCTTTGGGACTGATAATAACCCTAATAGTAGTCAATTAATCAGAGCAAAATACGTAGGAGCTACTCAAACCTTAACATTAGAACAAATGTTTCTTGCACATAAACAAAATTTCAACATTGATGTTCTTTAGCTATCTTAAAAAGCATTCTGGTTTACTATAGGAATTATCAGGCCTTGTGCATAGTATGGACATCAGATCAATGCATATTTTCAAATCAAATCACTCTCGAATTCTTATTACCAATTAGTTCTTTTATTAGTATTCCAATTATATGGCAGTCTAATCATTCTTACCATTAAAATTTCCCTAATTTATCGCATAAAGAATTCTTCATCTTTTCTTCAGGCTCAGTTTTTTTTTTAATTATTGGTCGTCAAGCAGCATATAGACTTCATATGATGTTTAAGGACTAAAATATTGTCTTTTAAAGAAATATATGAAGATAAAATTACAAAAGCTTAAAAGAATTACTGTATCATTAAGGATTAAATATAGCTATAAAACTTCATCTTCTTAATTAGATATTAATATAGCAAGTTAAGATATTCGTCTCATGCACTCCAGTCACTTAAATGTCAGTGATTAAACATACAGTGAATTTTTTACTCTCCCTCCTTCCCATATTCCTTGCATTTGCGTAATAAACGTTTGAGCAAATTAATTGTGCAAAACATTAAAGAGTATATTAAAATAATTTCTTCTTTATTATTTAATTATATTTTTCCATAATTATTCAAGTTCTTCATTATTATTCAGATCAATTAAAAAACTAACAGAAAAAATATGCAGAAATCTTAAGGTGTTTGAATAAAAATATTACTTACTACCTTACAAAAGTACAAATTTTCTTGATGGTTTGGTGCAATAAAAATAAAATTCTCTTAATAAGATAGTAGAATTCCAAATTTCATTAATACCTATTCTGAAATTTAAATTTTAATTTTAAGTGTAAATAGTGCATTAAAATTCTATAACAAAAAGAACAATATTGAACCTAATCCATGATTTTTCAATCAATTACTTAAAATTATCTTCCTAATAAAAAACGTTGGTATAAATCATATAGAAAAGGAAACCATATTCTACGCTCTGACATTGCGATTTTATGTGCGTAAGTCATCAATAAGTAATCTTCATCGCAGGTGCAACTCAGTAAAAGGCGTCAAATGTGGTGCCTAATGAAGTGAAAATTTAGTGCTTACTACTGTACAAAGTTAAGCTTAAAATAAAAAAGGAGCACATAATATATTCGTGTGCCGCAGTAATCATCTCTGAAAAGTTTCATAACCTGCATAACATGGAAAGTTACCTCGCACTCAGAAAAACTTTAAGTATGAAATGATAATCGCTTATAAGATATAACTGTTACCAGTCCCGCCGAAACTTCTTCGAAGGCAGATCAGGTATACAAGTGCTAAACAATATGTAGGCAATCACGACTGTAATAATTTACATGTTTTTCAAGAAAGGTTCTATAAACTGTGCAAATACTCCGGTGTGAGTTTTTTAAGACAACAAGCGGTCGTTCTCATCGTTTAAGTGATTTATTCCTCACTTTTCAATGGCTTATTGCTCTCTATTTCAGTGTCACAGAAGACGTTGCTGCATCATGTAGTGATCTGCGATGAAACTTTTCCCCTGTAAACCCAGTTTAATGTTAATGCCAGTAACTGTCATCGCATAAACCAAGCCACTATGCAAGATAACAAATCTATTACACCCTAAGATTATCCTCTGCTTGCTCTAATCATTACAACGTATAATTTAATTTTGAACTCCTAGACTAAGTCAAGCATTACTACAATCGTATTTTTTTCGATATTATTCAGAACATATAAAGGTCCTTCAGTAAAATCTCGTGGATAAGAAGTTTCTTGCTCACGGTTAGCATTAGCCCGCACGCAGTACAGTTAGGGCAGAATTTTCTGCTTCGGGCAGCGTATTTGAGTGTCTTCATCTCAAAAACATCACTTCCAGTTTGCTTGCTGTGTTCCAAGAAAATTTAAATCAAGAGCGAAATTTCTGAAGAATGAATGAGAACTTAACTGCGCTCCTAAAATTTTAAATTTATTTTTATACTAAGTAATATTTGCCTGCAATAAAACCATTTATGAGCAGTTTGAATTAGACATATCTACTATTTTTTTAACGATTACGAAACTAAATTGACCATGTAGGTATTGTTTGCTCGCTAGTATTTCACGATAGTATAAAAACATTACCTGTGATATATTACTTTTAAATTTATAAAATCACTGGTGTACCTGCTCAGTTTGTAGACGTTTCTTGAAAAACATGTTGACGATTACAAACGTAATCATCTACATGTTTTAGCACTTGTAAACCTGATCTGCCTTCCAAGAAGTATTTAATTTATTGTAATATAGCTCTCCCGGAAAAACAGTTTTTATTTTCTGAAGGAATTTCCAACCCGTTAAATTCTGTGATTTATATTGCAAATAAGTAAAGTTTACTTACAAGTCATTAGCTGTCACTCCTAACCCGGCAAAGAGGACTAAAAGCCACGCAACCTGTAAATAATTTTTTAATCATATTTGAATTTCAAATCAGTAGTATATAACAAGAAAACGTTATTAAGAATAGATAAAATGAACAATAGTATCTGATGATCCAATTTAAAAAAACATGCACTAGGGTTGATATACAATGCATTTAACACTCTGTAAGGTATTTTTCCCTTTCTTACCACTTGCTTTCGGGAAGTAACTGGAAACCTGTTAGGCTAGCATTCGGGAGATCCGGAATTTAAATGTCGGAGAGGGCAGATCCGATTTTTCATGCTTTGCGACTCTGAAAATTCAAATGACACAACAACGGCACCCGAACTGAAAAACGGGGGTGCACGATAATTGATCACCGCCTATATTTGGAATATGTTCCCTCTTTTCTAGCCGCCCATTAGGTGGGGGTAGGAAATGTGAAGTATTTTCTTCCCGCCTATCGCGTGCCTTCCTGGCGCAATTGAGAGCACGCTCAGCCAGCAATCGGATTTCAAATCTCGGTGAGGGCAGAACTGATTTGTCATATTTTCTAGCTCTAAAAATTCAGATGACTTTACGATTTTTTAATACAATTTATTCAGTATTTTAAAATTTAGTCTTAATTTCTTATTACGATTGGACAATAGTTTATTTGTTATTATTATTGCTTTTATTGTTTGTTTCCCATTACGAATAATTCATTGATAATATTATTTTACTACACTATGCATGAGTTTCTAGAAACTCCACAACTCTCACGCAATAAAAAATAAAGGATCTAATCTATATGTAGAGAATCTGTTACGCATACAGACCCTATTAAGAATGTAAATCATCCTTAGGACTGTAAATACGCAAGCAAAGAATTCTGATACATATGAATATTAGTCTCACAAAAGTTCATTTATTAAAGTGAATGCAGAAAATGGTCACTGAAACTGATTATTTAGTCGTCTCCCTTCCCCCGAAAATTAAGTTGCACAACATTTTCTCACAAAAGGTCTTGAACAGTTGAAGTAATTAGTCATGAATTGAATTATTACTCGAATAGCAGCCATTAGACTTCAGCCAAAATATTAATTTGCTGCCAGGCATAAATTTCAGATTTTCGAGCCTAGGATTTTCAACGATGAGTTATAGCTCCGCATAAATGAACCTAAGAGTACAAAAGCCAGTATAAAAGCCAATATAAATTAACAGCTCTATATAAATTAACAACGAGTTGTAACATCATAATACTGTGTATGAATAATTAATCTCGGAACCGAAGGAAAAATATCCTAGTAATGCTAGTTTTCTCAAATATACAAATTAGGCTACTTTTCTAAATAAACAAATTCGTATTATTGTATTTAGAAGGCTTATTCAACTATTCCAGTTTTGTTTGTGCAGTTTTACGTTCAATGTAATATCGCCAAAGTCAGCTTTCATTACATAAAAAACAATCAAACGCAATCGAATATTTCTAATTTATCCAGTATTTTTAAGGTACGGTTCGTAGCTGTAAATTATGAAATAATTTAAAACTGCTGCAAATGTTTAAACTTTTAGTAACATTGTAAAGATACATTTCTAGCATTTATGATACATTCTGAAGTATTTCTGAGAGAGTTTTGAATATTTCTGATGCACAAGGCCAAAGCATTTACTTATTCTGAATTTTTGCAAAGTTCTGTGATACAATTATTCCGGGTTGCTAAATACTTCGTCTTTTACAAATGAGAGTATGTATTAGAGATATAAACATGATGATCATGATGATCGATCATAGGGGTTATATTTAAACTCTTGATCAAAATTTGAAACGAAAACCTGGATTTGTTAATTTCAGAAAGGTTTAACATATTATAACTTTCCCATTAACCAAGTTTTGCATTATATTTATTTTCTTATTTTTAAAAGTAATGTTGCTTTAAATTATCTCAGCCTGTTTCTGAATTTTTATTCATTTTACATTAAAGTTCATCAAAGGTATTGACTGAGTTATCAATACGAGATAAAAGTGAACAACTATTCGGTTAAAGTGAGAAGAAAAAATGTATTTTGTTTTCCAACTTTGCAAACAACTAAAGATAAAACTGCTTCACGAAGGCATTTGATCGACATTTTTTAGAAATGACGTAATTCCATTTCCTATTTTAAAGAGAAAGTTCACAAGTATCACAAACAAATATGATAAAAAAAATAGCAGGAATTTCATGAGAGAGATATGGGATAATAAAAAAATATGACTAAATTTTAAAATTCCGTAGTAGGCAGCGGGAACAGAAAAAGAAAGATAAGACGGATGGCGATGAGGGTAATAAAAGCTCTTTTATTTTATATGGCTACTGAATTTTTAAAGCAAAAGCAACAACGCCCTTATCACAGTTTTGCAGTTAAGAGCATCGCACTTTTTGCTTTAAAAATTTCGATGAATCAAAGCTATCTCTACATTATTTGCGAAAGAATACATTTTATAGTTACATAAAAGACATATTTGAATTGAACTGAGTTAATATCTAACTTAAGCTGATATTTACACCAATGTGTAAAATTTCGAAAATGTGTTAAAAAAATATAAAGGATGCATTCAGATTCGAAACACCACAGCAATTTAAAACTCCTTCACGATTGTTGATGTAAGAAAATTAAACATAAAGGCAAAAAACATCTTCGTATTTTATAGACTTCTGGCCGATATATTTATTTACTGTTCTGGGTGGCTATACATTGTCAATTTAATTTGATGCCTTACAAACATCCTATGAATTTCCGATGATCCCATAGAAAAGTATCACTTTGAATTACATGATTAAAGTTCTTTTAATTTAATCATCACTTAAATAAATCCTTTTATTAAAGTGTACTCGAGATCCAAATATTAGGAATAGAAAGAATGCACATTTGACAGAGCACTTGATCCATACTGTTGAAGGAGAAATGATGAATAGCATCGTATGTACATGAATAGCATCGTATGTACTGTCGTGCGTCACTTGACAGCTCTGTCTTCAGCTCGTCGTCAAACTAAGCGACATATATTATAGTTTTTTACTTTAAAATAGGCACTTTAAGACGTTTTCAGCCGTCCCTCATTTGTGATTTAACCGGATGTCGTCATACCGGAACAGCACGTTTCGCCACCTTAACTCTCACTTCACCATAATAACTGCAAAATTTTTAAATTGATAAAGTTCGCTGTGAATCACTTTTATATCTGTACGTATTAGGTTGTAGAGACATTATGTTAATTGGAAAAGCCGAAGAGATGAAAAATGTGCAATCGCCTTTGCCGGAAATCGAACCACGGACCTCTGGAATACCGTCCCAGCGTGCAGAACCACTACACCACGAAGGCATGCTAGGAATGCGGAAGAAATACCTTATACACCCCGCCTCTTAAAGGGCGACTGGGGTTTTTAGGGGACACAATCGCCAAATCCTGGGTGGGGAGAAATCCTCATCCACCACCCTTTTAGTTCGAGCACCACGAAGGCACGCTAGGAAGGTGGGAGAAATACCTTAGAAGGTATTTTGTGCTCAAACAATTCGCGGAAAATTCTTATCATGAGTACTTAGTATCTGGTATTGCATACTGGGTATCATGGGTATACGTAAAACCTGTAGTACTTTTATTTGGCTATCAAAGAGCATTAGTACGCTGTATAGAAGAAATGAAGTAATCGGAGACAGCATAAAACGTTTGTAGTGAAAACGGAATCCAAGCATATTTGCTCCGTTAGATAGGATATCGCATTTTCAGAGAAAGGCAATCAAATAAGCAAGGACGTCTTTGAACATAAACAAACCCTTTATGTGCTACAACTACCTTATTTACGGGATATTACATCATCTGATTTCACTGTTCTCTCTTATCAAGATGGCTGACTTAAAATTGTCAATGTTTTCAAATCTTTCAAGCTAACCAAAACTATGCGATGCCGAGTCTCTGACGAGAAGAAGTCTCTCCCAAGACTTCCAAGAAAGGCTGGAGCACTTGAGGAAATATGCTGGTTCTGCTAAACTTCGGAGGCAACTAGGTCATAATGTTGTACATTTCAAATAGAACTGATACATACATATTTTCCTTGAATTTTTAAGCATGGGTATAACTCATGAGTAAAAAGAACTTACGCTCATGGCGACAACACTTGCTACCCCTTCTGGTCCATAAAGGCAGTACATATGTTTAGTATAATGTATATAACCCATTCCAGAATGACATTCCTTTTCATATTGTACGAAGTCGCAGCGACATTGCATTTCCACTTCATTCACTTCTCGACACTAGAACAAAATAAATTCATGAAAATATTATATTATTAAAATCTGCAATATCATGTGTAATATCATGCAACCTTCACGCTGTGTTACACATGTATCTGCAATATCATGTGTAACACAGCGTGAATTGGGTATTTTTTATAATTTTATTCTTTTTATGATAATATAAATTATGCATTTTATAAGTACAAAATAATAAAAATTATTTTTTTTAAATTAGTATTTTTCAGAGAAGTTTTGTTCTTTTTTCAACAGTTTTTCTTTGTAAAACAACAGAAAATTGAGTGATTATCGTTTATTTAACAATTAAATTGAATACCATAAATTTCAACTCAGAACTGAGTCATGTTTGAAGGAGAATTTTGAAAATTTTATTTTAAAAGTAACATTATAAGCCAATTTTCTAAATAATTTTAATATTTTATTGATCCTTCTTATTTGATTACACACTGCTGTAAGAAGTTAAAGAAATAATCCTCTCAAGCGTTGTTTTGCTGTGGGTGTGAGCATACCACTCCTGTGGATCTAAAGGTGTGGGTTCTTTAGTTAGGGTTTCAAATACACATGACTAATTTTTAAAAATTCTAATATACCATGAATCATTTTTAGTTCTGATGCCACTATAAAGCAGTGTTACAGAGGTTCCCAAACTAAATGTTCGTCATCAGTTTGGATTGGTCATCTGGAAATCGCGTTTTTCTATCTTTTAAACATAGCCCTTATGTCAAGAGATATTAGAAATCATGTATAATCATATCTCGTGTGTTGTTGTTGTGCTTGATTCCCGTTAAGGGTAAAGTCGATTTTTTAAGATTCTTTAACCCAAAAATCTTAGGTCTCAATTTTGTTTTCTTAAATATTTTTCCTTAATGATATTTTGTGCAATTCGTTGAATTTCATCTGTGCAGTCAGAAATTTCAACTCACACACGATGCATTTTCTAGTGTAAGCCTGAGTTCGACATCCGAAAAGGTAAATATCAATTGTATAAAAACATAGGATTAAAACTATAGATGTAAAAAATTAATCGATATGTTTAGGGGAAGAGGATGTTTAAAAATACAATAGGCATTTTTCATATGGACTCATTTTAGATATTTTCGAACTGGAATCATGAGTTTATTTCAGATAAAAGCATTCATTTACAAATCGGAAGTTTCCTAATTCGATTAGCAAATGCTTCATTTACTGCTCAACTGAAATAAATCCTTGCAAACGACAGAAGATATCTTGATTTAGATCTTAGGCTCGTAAATAGACTGGTTTGCAGTAAGAAAAGGAATGTAAAAGCTTCCAATAATTTTAGTTTAAAACTGGAATTGATTAGTATTAATTATCAAAAAAGCGAGGACTGTATCATCAGATTAGTTTTCTGTAGATCGGGAGATTCTAATTTCGTTTCCTGAATGAATGAAACGATTTATGTTTTATATGTTTAAGTGCAAACAGTTATTGTAATTTTAATGACAAATTTAATAGCTTTTTCTTGGATTTGCAATAATCAGAAATATTTATTAAAATAATGAGCATTTAAAGATAGAAAGTGTATCTAATACGTTGTTCTCTATAATTATAATATCTGTAAAAAGTTTTATAAAAAACTGAAAAATGCAGTTTAGGTGGCAAGATCAAGAGATATTATTGATTAATTTTATATTAAGTAAATTAGAATGTATTTGCCTCAATCTTTTCAAAATCTTTCAGCATCTAAGATTGATTTAGCTACAAATAAAGTAAGTAATATTATAAATTTGTATGTCTTCCTACTTTAGATGAGTTAATTTCCTCGCAGGTAAATGTGTTTCTTAATTTTGGTACGTTTTTAAAGAAAATGGAATTTGGCTGGCTAAAACGCAAGAAATCTTTACTTACCTCTGTAACGTTGAAATATGAGCTTTTGTTTGTCAACCACCCTCCATCACTTGAACAATTATCGACAAAGCCAAAATCATTGTTCCAAATGAAATTGTCAGCAATCATCCATGAGTCAGCCATCCCTTCAGCGGAAATGTTCAGTGTCAAAAGTTTTCAAAAACCTATCAGTTCTTCTGTCCAAAGAAGATATTTTAGTGATATAAGACCGTCTTCTGTATCTTCGGATTAAAATTTTACTTTTACTACTAAAAGATTTCCTCTTATTGCTTTGCTCTAACCGTCTTCGGTACCTACGGACTAAGTGCTTGTTCTTTGTAGGAGTGGCCCAACACGCGTTCGTTGAATACATCACATGAGGATAGATTTGGTATGAACGAGCATTGCTAAGATCTTGTCTTATATACCCTCTCTCATTCTGCTGCGAATCCTTTTTTGTCTTATCGTTGATAGAAGCCAAGGGCTCGAAATGAGCTTGCGTAATTTTTATTGGCTGACTGACTTGACAAACAGCGATTATCATACAAAGAAGACCGACCCTATGTGTCGAAGTTGAAGATACCTCGCGACAATTTTTTTTTTTTTCCTTAATTTTACAGTTCTGGATATCGCATCACGTTATCTCGCACACAGCTTCCATAAATTAGTAAAATTGTTCTTTTAATTTTCCCTGTATATGAATAATTCGCTCCAAATAAAAATACAGGTGCATAATATAACATTAAATTTTTCCCTTTCATAAAAAATGCCTTTTATCTTTCGAAATGAAATATCTAAGCATACTTTTTAAAATGAAAATAAAGAATTGGAACCTGATAATAAAATTTTTTTGACGATCTTTTCTTCAGAAAGAAATTATAAAAACAGTTATTTTATTCTTTGCTTAAATAAACAAAATAAATAAATAAAAAATATTTACGTACAAGCCTTCATCTTTTACGTTTTCAAAGCTCTATAAACTGAAATATTAAGTGAAGTATGTCAAGACTAAAGAAGGTTTTTCCTAATTAGTTTTATTTCAAAAAAAGTGTTTGTTATTTTCTAAAAATAGTTTATCTCATTAAAAAAATACGTAATACGCTGGTTTATTATAAAGCATTGTTGATGCGAAAACTTTCAGTCAGATTACTTCAGTTGAAAAACCGGAAGACATTTTTAAGGCAAAACATCCATACTTCTAATAAATGCTTTCCGGCAGTGGTTAGAAAACGAAAGTGAAATATTAAACTCGTGAATAATTACCTCATTTTTATTTGGCATTCCTTTTTAACTCGAGGGCAAATTTCACATAGAATGTCATAAGTCATTATCACCCGAAGAGACTTTGTAGAGACATTAGGTATTTTTTGGAGGCAGGCAAGATGAAAAATATGCAACGCCTTCGCCAGGAATCGAACCGCGGACCTCTCACTTACGCGCTGAGCATGCAGACCACTACACCAAGAAGGCTCGCTAAGAAGGCGGTAGAAATACCTTATAACTTAAGAAACAAAATTTAAAGAGATTAGGGGTTAAATAGATTAAAAGAAACACTACAGTTATCAGTGTGGATGCCATCGTTGTTGTATAAATCGTAAAAATGGAGATGTTAAATAAAATAAAATAGTCATTCATATTGAAGGAGATCTCAGAAAAGTACTCATAAGATGAAAAGTAGTTATTTTAAAGAGTAATAAAAATATACAAATATTATGTCCTTTAAAAACTTTACCGAAATTGATGAAGGATCGATGAAAATTTGATCTAGCTGAGTTATACTATTAATGTACTTTAATGAATTTATTAATTTCGTACCAGTTTTTAATTAACTTACCAGTGTAATCACTTATCTAAATATATGTTCCATATAGATTAATCGTTAAGCTATCAGGATTAACTATTTATTCCGTCATATATTATTTTCATACGATGCTTGTTTTTAACTTATTTGCAGTCCTGCAAACCCGTGCAAAATTAAAAGAGTAAATGTTGTGGCTTAGAAGTTTCCTGCTCACTGCCTTTGAAATTATGTCGCCTTTCTGAACAATTTTTAACATATACATGCCGATTTCAGCTAATTTTAGCAATAATTACTCAATGCATTTGTAAAGGAATTATCGAGATCAGAACTACAATGCCGTACAACTTCAGGCAGATGCTTCGGATAATCAGAATGCTAAGAGTCACCTCGAATCTATTTCTTATCACTAATTTAACTTACTTAACATAACTTAATGTCTTATCACTAATTTAACTTAACTTAAATTTCTTATCACTAATGTAACTAGACTGAAAATTAGATGTGTATCCTAACAAACTCACAGATGAGAAAAATACCATAAACTTTATTAGATTTTGTTTTAAGCTTTTGCTCCACATCATTATTGTATAAGAAATGTCTGGTTTTCTCATTTGCGTTTAAGTGCACTCGAAAGAAGACGCTACATAGTCAACTCATTTCCAGGGAGAGATTTTCAATCATAGTATTTCACTGTTGTATCATGGTTTTCAGCCGCCCGGACCAAATTGCTCCCCTATATTCGCCGCCCTTTTGTGCCGTTTCCTAGCTTTTTTTGCCGCCCCAGTTGCAATAATCAGCGAATAATCAATCTTGATTGTCCCTCAGTCATTTACACTACAAACTAAGATTTAAATAATAAAACGTTCCGTGCTAGTTTTTAATCGGTCCGATTTGTAGGTGCTACAAAACTATGAAAACAATTTATTTCTCCCGCCTTTTTAGCATGCCTTCGTAGCGTAGTGGTGAGCCCGCTGGGCACGTATTCCAGAGGTCCATGGTTCGATTCCCGACGAAGGCGTTGCTTATTTTTCCCATCTCCTGCTTCCAAAAAAGAAATCCTAATGCCTCTACAAATTGATTCAAAGTTTTAGGTCAGATTATAAGGTATTATTAGTGCTAATTATTGTGAAATTATGCCGCCATAAAAGGTGCCTCCGAGGGACGAACATCCCCCGCCAAGCTACGCAACTGTGCTACGAGATATAAGCGAACTTTTCCATTTCACAGTAGTTAGAAATGAAGGCATAGTTTCAAACTTTCTAATATTTCAGCCGAAAAAGCACAGTTTATGGAAGGTATTCTCTCGTTTGTAAGCGGCACGTTTTTTCACAACAGTGCAGATAAAAATCAGGTTTGCGACTTATGCACGAGTATGATTAGAAATACATACGTACAAACATATGGCAACACAGCAGCACGTATTTAACGACTGAGTATAAAATGTGTTGTCTTTGGGTGAATGTGATGAATGTTACATAGAACTGTACAAGTTTAGTTGTGATTTGCAAGTCGTGGCGACATGGTGTGGTGTGCCTATACCAGCGATAGTAATACTGGTAGTGAAGGCAACTCCTCGAGTGGTACTTCATAGTGACAGTGAATAAGCAGTCCTAAACATCAAAAGATGCTCCTTTTGACTGATAAAATATTAATCCAGAAGTCAAACAACAAAAATCAGCGTTATATTTACAAAATTTTCACAGGACTAGTTTCGATGGTTTTACCGAACCACCATCTTCAGCTGCAAAACCGCAAAACCAGATAGGAAATAATGATTAGATAAGATAAGAAAGCCTGGACAAGAATAAGCAAGTGGCGCCATCGGTTGGTGAAACCAGAACTAAATATAATTTCTTTAAAGGCCGAAGGCAAATTTGGATTGGAATTAGGATCGTTAACTAGAACAGAAAGATTTTTATGAATGTGAAATGCCTCTAGAAAATCCAGTTCTCCAATGGAAGATGTTTTTTGAATAATTTTGGCAGCAGAAAAACTGAAAGTGTGGTTTTCGGACCAACAATGTTTTTGTTGTTTGACTTCTGAATTAGTATTTATTCGGCGTGTTATTGTGTCTTAATGATAAAATATTGTTTTAGTGCATGGTAATTACTGTTTTCATTTTAGCTACTTTCACACCTCCACAACGAAAAAATATTGTAGATGGTAGACAGAATGTCCGTGGCTTATTCTCGATATTCTTTTTTAATTAGAGGTAAAAATTAATCTTTCGGCTTATACTCGTGAGAATACGGTATTCAACTAAAGTATCCTTTTTTGAGGTTGTTTTACATTAATCTATGGCTGAGTTCGGGGATCTTAAATCGCTAAGTGTAATAGCACAGCCTCTCTATGTATAAACGCGAATGATTCCCGAATAACGAAAGAATTTTCTATTTCTTTTTTTCACATTTATTTATGCATTTAAGTACTCTTTCAATTTTGCTCAGCTTTAATTTTTTAAACATATGAGATCTAAAATTCTTAGTAATGATGCTTTCAGTCATAGTAGTTCCGTAGATGTTTTTCTTAAACAACTTATGTTATCGAACTATTACGTATGTATGTGTATGTGTGAGTGTGACACTATTGGCACTGCCATTGAACATTTATCGGTAGTAATATAAATTGTAATGGAATCATATTTTATTTTCCCGTTTACTTTCCTAATTTCTAATCGAAAAATCTGCGACATTTCTTTAATCAGAAAATTATGTTTTTCAGCATTTTAACGGTATCAAATGAATTGCATTAGAAATGCAAATGAACCCAAATTATTACTCGTTGTACTTTGAAAGTGTTAATTTAATTCTCTAGTTACTGTGCCATCTAAAATGTGTAGTTATACTTCGCAAAAAAGACGCATAGCGCAGATTATATGCGCTTCCTGATGCCAATTAATTATGGATTACTGCTTTGTATATTTTTAATGGCGATCAATACGTTTATATATAAGTAAAAAATTTTCCCAAAGCTAAATTGTTTCGCAACACATGATATGGGAATAAACTATGGACTAGTGAAAAGACAGTTAAAAAATCACTTGGAATGCGTTTTCATTACCTCCACATAAACGCGTTCAAATCTTTGTATAAAATAGACCACATATATATTGTATAAAATAGACCATATTTTTGGATTGTACAAAATAGACCACATTTTTGGAGATGGAACGTGTTAGTAAACCATTAGAATAAAATTAGAGCTGGATTAAACGAAATTAATAGCCAGTTTAATGTACCTGAAGTACGAGTATTTATGTATTTTTAAAACAAAAAGAAGAAAAATGCCAACATGCTATCTCTTAAAGTGTAAAAATAACGAGCAAAGTAAAGTGTAAACTAAATCAAAATAAAAAATCATTAGAAAATAATAATGAAAAACTATTTTGGAACATATTTTTTGTACAATTACAATTTACGTACGTTTCTCTTTAATAACGCTTCTACTTAAATAGAGTCAAAGATCTAAAATTTGTTCAGAATAGCTTTTATTACAATAATTAGTAAGAAAAGAGGGTCGAAATTTTATTAATAAATATAATTACAAGTTTTAAAAGAAATAATCTAAAGATGTTCATTACCT